ACATTGATCTTGGTTTTTTGTCCCATCCAAATGACCTTTACCTGTTCAGTCCCACAGGTGAAAAGAAAAAACAGGGCTTCAAAAATCCTAAGGTTTGCCTTGGTCCACACCAAAATCTAAACCTGGTTCATTCTAGTTGAAAGTCCATTACCCTTACCAACCAACTACCAGGTCCCTGTAACATAGACAGTGGCTAAGAAAATTATTTGGTACTGAAGGGATGTAAAAATTAGGTTCACAAGCTATGGCTGTTGTCTTTTGAACACTATAACTTTCACAAGAGTAAACACTGATAAAACTCAGGAGTGTAAAACCAACAAATTAAAATCGAACACAATCTTCATCATGCATACAAGTCTTAAAGCAGCTAAACCTCTTTGATTTATATCAAAATTTGAGTGTTCTGATGTGATGAGACAAGCTCTATGTGAATTGATTAAATTTCTGTTTAAAAAGATTATGATTTAACTTCGTTTCTGGCCTTAACTGTCGAACGTTGAACAAAAAATCAGTTATATCTCAACACTTTTTCTGAACAGATATCTAGATAGATACAAAAACAAATTAACACACTAACTTAAACATACATTATGCAAGAGTTAAATCTGCCTATTTCAGGTCTTTCTTTAGCTCTGAAATGTTACCTAAATTATTAATTAGACTCCAATTTCTAAATTATTAATTAGACATCAATTAACTTATCCAAAACATAATCAACTCTCGATGTCATTGCTAGTCTGCGATATTTATTGGATTAGGATCTGATTTGCTGCTCAACTTTCATGCATGATTTAATCATGAAATGGATAACAAGACTATGTTTTTTATCGTGCCTACTTTAGTAGGCCAAAAATTCAATTGCTAAATTCTCAGTTCACGGTGGATCAATTTGACTGAAATTTTCAGCAAATTCCCTTTACATTATCTAGTTTTTAACTATTATAGTGCGAACTGCCAGCTCTTTATCTAATCTCGCATAATGTATCTTTAACTTTAATCAAATCAATAATTTATGTTTTTTTAACAATTCCAAAGACATAATTTTAAAATCAACATTTTAAAGAGAGACTAACAGATTCATATAACAAAATGATTGCGAATAAGAACCAAGAATAAATACATCACAAAATTTTTCAACCAATAGTCTTTCAAACATAAGAATAAAAACACAATTCAGCTCAATACTAAATGCATTGTATGACTACCGTATGCAATTATCTAAATACCACTGAAGTGAAAGCAGTGATTTCTAAGAAAAGGTAGAAAATACATTTTTTTATTTTCGTCTGTCAAATTAAATTCCACTTTAAACGTGTGTTAACCCTCACAGTTTAAATATTCACTGAATATATACTACAGCTGACAGTAAACAGTATTAATGCACGTCAATAGCTGATAAAATCTATTATTCATGGGCCTTAAAATTATCATAAAGGTAATATTTGTGTTCCCTAAATTTTTTATAGGTATTGTTAGTGCAAGGACCCCACTTTGACATTTTAAAGAGTTTTTGACCGGTTTCTACCAGAACTAAGGTTAACCTGTGTTAAATGATTATTATATCATTGCATTAAATGCATCCTAGGTTAACGTAGTAAGAAAATTAAACTCCATTTCATTTCATTTTCATTTGCATTAGGTTAATCTTTAAAGGAACAGGATTTTACAAATAATCTATCGTAATGTTGTTACATTTTTAAATACAAACAATGAATTAATAAAAGTTTCAGCTTTTCATGTTTGCATGTGGACTACATAAAAAATAGCAACCTATATTTAAATGCTGAGAAATGTTGGGTGGTAGCCAGTTTTGATCATCCAACAAGTGGAGCAAAAGTGTTGTTGTTTGTATGAGCCCAACCAACTAATTAATTGTAAAAAAATGTGCACGGCTCAGAAAGTCACTATCAGGAAGATCCAAACTCCCCCCAAAACCTAGTCCTAGCCATCTTATTCACAATAAATGATTAAGCCAGGTCTAGCCAATAAAATGTGTAAAGAAAATATAGACAAAGAGTTAGCGGCATGGGGGGTTCCAAGTTCCAGCTCAGGTATATATGCTAGCCTTGACTGCTTGTGTTAAAAATTGACTAAAATATCTCGGTACCCATCAGTCAATTTACATGCCGTATAAGTAGTAGGTTTTCAAAGTCCAGTTTTTAAACATGGCTACAATTGACCTCTGCTATGTATCTATAAAATTCAACTGTTTGTATAGATTAGTGCACTGTCGCAATCTGTTTTGTAATAGCGGCACATTTGGTACAAGGTACCATGATGATGATGTCGTAGAGGACGGTTATGATGATTACTTTATTAATAATTTTAATTATATTACAAAATTAAAATCTTGTGCCAAAGATAAAGACCCACTAACAAATTTAGTCTGTAAAGTATCATCAAATTTATAATACAAAACTGAATGGCAGCGATATTACAAAACACGTCGCTATAACAGTGTCTTTAGGAGAATTGTAATAGCAAATTTGGTAACAATTATGCATCGCTATTACAAAATGGGTTGTGATAGTGCACGCGTATAGAAGCCATGTCAGCACATTGGATATTTAAAAAGTAAATGTGAAGAGTTCTTATTTCTGTGAAGAATCCTTCTCGATATTTCTGAGAAAAGAAATTTCTTGACTGGCCTTTTTTTTGTACCAGACTATTGGGAAAGAGCCTGACTCTTCTAATACCTATTACTAATCTGTCTTGAGATAATTCATAATCATGATTCATTTTATCAAGAAAATTCAATCCCATCATTTCCTAGAATTGTTACTTTCACATTATCTGGGTGACACATACTTGCAAGCTAATTCCGGGAATACCCGGCCTTCAACTGTTTGGGTCAGTTTTTAAAGCAGTTATTTTTTATATCTTATGTAAGATATTTTCTGTTGGGAATGCCCTTTAGTGGATTTATTATTAGTTACTCATTAAAGATTGATGGTAAAGTGTCTTTGTATTCAGTTATTTGTCTAATAATAAATGGGTTTTACCAAAGCTATTTGGTCAGTTTTTAAAGCAGTTATTTTTATATCTTAAGTAAGGTATTTTCTGTTGGGAATGCCCATCAGTAGTTTTATTATTAGGCACTCATTAAAGCTTGAACGACAAAGTGTACCTGCTTATTTAACTGTCTTTAGTTACCTTATGTGTGTTCAGTTTTTTGTCTACTGGTAATGATAAATGGGTTTTACCAAAGCTGAAGTTTACATAAATACATTTACAATTGGGTTTTACCAAAACTAAAATTTATATAATATTCTACTTAAAATAAACCAAGTCAACAGTGAGGCTGATGTACCCCACCAAAATCCTGAAATAAAAAGATGACACATATTAATTAATTGCATGTTTATCTTTTTCAAAAGTATCAAGTAATCAAACTGATTATCAACTATACACTAAGTTTCATCACTCTCTATTCAGATAGAATCAAAGTTATCTTGGTCCAAAGCATCGTCAATTAGAAGGAGAGTTATATTGTGTCCCAAAAAGTGACGGAAAGACAGACAGATGGACGGACAGACAGAAAGAAGGACAAACCCATTTTAATAGTACCCTTGCTTTCTTCAAAAGCTTTCTTAAGAGTCTTTTAAACATAGTATTTGAACCCACTCATTTATATTCAGCACATATATTATTATAAATCATGCAGATTATAAATCATGATTAAAATGTAAATACTATAAAAATTTGGTTTTCATAACCAATGAAAAGCTTTGATTAATCAAATTTTAGGGGAAGTCTGAGGAATTCTTGGATTCTTAGGGATTTTCCTGTGTGGTTTCTCCTTTCAGTGGTGCAGGACAGAAGACCTGGTACAAGTCAGCAACACGTGGACTTAAAAGAGTAGGCTGTTAGTTCCAAAATTTCCATCAAGGAAAACAAATTGATGTAGGCAGCATTTGAAATCCATATTCTTACTGGGTATGAATTGTTGACATCACAATAATCCTAGTAAGATGAAAACTTGTCAGATCTACAAGTAATAAGGCTATCATGGTGTGTGAGTGGACTTTTCTCTTTGTTTACATTCATCGATTGTAGATCCTTTCTTTATTATTTTGAATATGATAAGATATGAAATTGAACATGGCATGTTTTATTTGATTCTGTAAGCAACTAGTAAACCTGGGCTATATTATGTTATAAAGGAATATACAAGGTTTTGGCCACCCAGAGGTTTTTAACCCTAACCAGTTAGCACATATTTAACCTGTGGCCGAAACCTTTGTCTATAAAACTATGGTGATGGAAACATGTTTCAATCAGACAAACAAGAACAATCATATCTAAGAAAGTATCTGCATCCCTTTTTGTTGTTTTCCCTTCAAAGTCCAAAGATTCCCTCCCTTAATTTCTTAATTGCATGAGGACAATCCACACAATAGATAACATCAAAAGGTCAAAGATCCAGATGGCAGATTTGCAGAACTGATATACTCACAACATTTATGTCTACAAATCAATTATTCATCAGTTTCCTACAAGAAATCAACAAGTGAAAGAAAACCAAAATGTATCTAGAATGAATCATATATGATTCCTTTAAAGAAAGACAGGTCACTTTTGGATATATTACCAAATTGGAAAAAGAACAAATGACTTGAAGATTAAATGAATGAGTGAAATGGGGTTTAACGTCCTACTTTTCTTGCCCGACTGGCTATTAAAGATAGGAATACGCCATGCAGTGTGCTATAATGGGAAATTTTGTCCAGAAGGCGGCGAAGTAAGACCTACTCTTACTTCAAATTCCAACTGTCAAGGGTTCATTTATATGCACCCCAATGTGTACACTGTCCTACACCACTAACAAGGGGAAACCTCTCAAATCCTGATTAACTTTCTCACCAAGATCAAACATGGGACATCCAGGTTAGCAAGCCAACAACTTACTCACTGAGCCACCTCAGCTCATTGAAGATTAAATACAAATTAGAAAGTCAATAGGATTTCCCAATTTAAAAGTTCTATTCAAAATTGCGTAATTTTCAAATTAAGATGTTTTATTCTCTACATCAAAATAAATACAAACATGTCTGCTTGGGAAAACAACAGCATTCTGGACTATGATTACTCAAAAACAGATTCAGGAATTCTTGGATGGGTGGAGATAGTCTAGTCCAGTTTTTTAAATTATGCAGATAAGAAGTGACACTTGAATTGTTTTGGGGCAGGGGTTCAACCACACTTCTTCTATTCTACCACTCATAAAATGTTAAAACTTCACCTAGCATTTCTTTTTAATTGTTTATCATCAGTTGTATTTTAGTTTCAATGTTTTCATTCCTTCACAATCTCTATTTTCAATTAACGCTGAAAGTAGAACCGTAAGAAAAACACAAATAATTAGAAACTCCAAAAAATATGGAATTATTTCAAAGTATTTTTTCATGAGTTAATTCAGAAAGTGATTTAAGCCTTATATGTGGTCTAGATTATCCCATGTTTATGTTCAAGTCAAACAGTGACACAGTCTTTGAATATAAAGGTTAATTATCAACATGTTATAAAAACAGAAGAAAAAAAGAGACTGATTTGCTCTACTTTTTCTTTTAAGACCATAGATAAAAACTTTGGGCACTTATTATTTGGGTTATTTCACATCTGATTTGTAGATTGCAGGCTGGTTAAACAACAAATCTGAAACAAATTTTCTTCTTTTATTCAGGTGATGGACAAACTTAATACAAGTGCATATATACTAGTATGAATATATACATATGTATATTTGACTACACATGAGGAGTATTAAAGATGGATTATGTAAGCGCTAAATCTGCCTATTGCAGATCTTTCTTTTAGCCTCTAATTATATAAATTATTAATTAGACATCTATTCACATGATCGACTCATAATCAACTATCCAGAACGTTCGATGGGTGTGATTTTGAATGGATTGATATATGATCGCGATTTAATAATTTAATTTAAAAATGGATAATTGAGACGGCTCTATTCTTTAAACAGTCATAACTTCGCTCAGAATGATGTTTTATATATTGCTTTTTCATTATCTATCTTTAAACTATTACAGCAAGATCTGTCCGCTCTTTATCTAAGTCTTACATAATGCATCTTTAATACCGTATTTTTTGGAGTATAAGTCGATACTTTTTTCCGCTGAAGTCTGGCCTTCGTCTTATACTCCGCTTCGACTTATATACGGATAAAGGTAAAAAAAAATGACATCTCGAACAAATTTTTTTCAGTTACTGTCGCTCCACGATGCAGCATGCACTATTGTCTAAAACAAAACTACTCACACTATTCCAATCAAAATATTTGTAGATGTTTCCTAGCTTGTTTATTTCTTTATTTAAAAACGTCCCCCCCCCCACACCCTTTCAAATATTATCATCAACCCAAGAATACAGGCCATTAAAATAGAACCTTTTCTCCAACAATAGTCAAAATTGTCATGTTTCCATTTCACGTAATTTCACGCGTCTCGTGAGATTTCTACTTTTAATTTGGAGTATAACCACATGCAATTATAAACAGAGCCTGCATTGTCTTATATTTATCGGATATATTGAAATAAAAACTGGTTTAGATAAACCAAGAACACAACTTGGAATATTAATCAAGTTAGTCCAACATTTATAAACTGATTATTTCACATTAATTAATATTATGGGCCAATTTTTCTCGGCGTACCCCGGCACGGTATTTGACTAGGATAACAGTCCCAAATCTCGACAACAGATTGCTCCTGTGAAGTTGAAAAACATTCGTCTTATATACCACTTCGACTTGTATATGGATGGAGGTCGGAAAAACTGTAAAATACGACGATTCGACTTATACTCCACATTGACTTATACCCCGTAAAATACGGTAATTGACTTTATTTCATGTTAATGGATGGAATACAAGTACAAATAAGTGAACAAAGGTTATAGACTTATACAATACTTTGCATGCAAGCATGGAATATTTTGCTACTGCACAATATACATGTTAGCTACGAGAACGTAACTAAAAGCGCCGAGATATATATATAGAGAGAGAGAGAGAGAAATGGGGTTTAACGTCCACTCGACACAAACTAGGTCATTTCGGGACTAACATATGGTTTAATTTTATTTCAATAATTTGCTTGCGCGTAGGGGTCTTTAGCAGTGGGAGGAAACCGGAGGACCCGGAGAAAACCCACGAGGTTGGACAGGCGACCCTACTCCTTGTCACGTACAACCGGGGATTCAAAACCACGCCAGTCGACTCGATGACAGGTCTTATGATAAAGCACGCACGTGCTAACCATTCGGCCATCCACCCCCCCCCCACCCCCCACCGCTGAGATATACTGATGTGCTTGTTTTTAGCTACGATTGGATGCCTTTAGTTCCATTCATTCATTTATCAGCAAATATTGACAATCAAGTAAATCAAGCGTTGTTTTTATCAAAATTGATTCGGACTTTCATAATTACACCGTATTACTACTGTGCAACTCTGATCAGATGGGTACTTTGATTGGCTATTGCACACGAAGCGCTGCCTTTATGTGTTACAGACGTAAATGTAAAATGCCAGAAAAAGCAATCTACTGTCGCTTTGGTTTAAAAAGAGGGGATTTGTACCCATTTCAGTTGGATTATATGCTTAATTGTAGTTGGTTGTGGCAGAAATATTATAAATAACAATAACCAATCGTTGTTTTGATTAAAAATATTGTCAATTTTGTTTACAAATGCTGGGTGCGAATCGCTCCCCCATGTGCTACATTGAAGGTAATAGCATCATCTCTTATCTCAAACACTGAGGGTTGAGAGATTAAGGTTTGTTATCTATATACATTTATTTGATAATGATTTCATATAAGAGCATATATATCCTACCATTAAGATATTATCTTATAATAAGATGAATTAATAATATATTTGCGGTAGTCTAATTAATAGTTTTAATGCTGTCATGAAAATCAAAATATTCTTAATGTGACATAGACAGTATTATTAGCTATGACATGTAGACTGTGTAGTAAGTGCTGTAGGACCTGACAACACTCAATAAAACAAACACCAAAAACTGACAAATAAACAGTAAAACAAGTAGGACAAATAATCTACAAGGCCACTACAGAATTTGTTGAGTTTTCAGCCAAATGGGTCCATATTGAAATGAAATAAGGTGTAATAATGTCTTACTTTCCTGCACTAACTGAGCTAATGAAGACGAGCATGCACAAAGCATGTCAAGGAATGAGAAACTTTCTCTCAGCCAAAACCAGGATTTAACCAGTGCCATATGCACAGAGCCACCATGGGTCCAAAAAGCCTCGATGGTGCTATAATGGCATCAATTAGTTAACCAGTAGTGTCGAATGGTGTTATGTCAACAGTCAGTACACCAACATCAAAATGTTATGACAGTAACTTTTAAACTGCATTGCTTTTTATTTTAAATGACTCAAAGTTAAAATTTAAAGATTTGAGTTCACTGAACAGTGTACTGTAAGCAAAACATGTAATATGAATAATATACTGTACTCAGTGGTATTCCTCATCAATTTACCAAAAATACCAGTAAAATAAATTTGGTAATTGAGTAAGGAAAAGTACCATGTATTTTTCATGTATGACCTTTAGTAAGTATGTGTACACACAATTAATTAATTAGTTAGTCTAGTTACCATGACAGAAAAGGGCACTATCCAGGTACTTTTATTAAAGAGGCATTATGTAAGACAGAGGAAGAGCTGGCCATTCTTGCTATATTAGTTCAAAAATACATAATGAAAAATGAATATATTCATAATTTCATTCAAGTGTCTTTTTTCTAAGCGAAGTTATGTTGGGGATTGTCTAATTCACTTAATATCTAAGCTATCCGATGATCTAGAGAATTGAGTATGTGTGTGTCATGTGAATTAAAAATGTTTAAATAATAATTGATATAATAATTGAGGCCAGACAAACGACCAGTTTAGCTCTCGCATAATGCCTCTTTAATGACTTGCTTTGACATATTTGACAATATCCAGTTTTATCGTCAATTCATTACATTTTTGTAAATACCAAATGTATTAAACCATTTTTGGACTGATATTCCCTTCATAGATTCAGCTTTCACAATATTGCAGTTTGCAAGGGATTAACAATCCCCCATAGACATTCAAAGGCTTTAAATATTACAGGATATTAAAAAAAAATTAATACATGTACTAATCAGGAATAGCATGTTTGTTCATAAATATAATATTTTAAAATAATTATAGAAAAATTAATTCAATTTCTGAATTAGTCTTAGTTATTAAGGCAATGGATGCTAGTAATTTTAATATTCTAATTACAGAAGAGTTCCTTAATTTAATGTAAATCGTGTAGGTAACGGCTGCATATAATTTGTATAATTATAGATAAAGATATAAAGGTAGACTAGAAGCCATATTACAATAATCCTACAATAAATAATGATTTATAATTCTAATATCCTGAAAGGCTTTGATAATCATGTAGATTTGAGTTTGAAGATCATGATGATGATGATTATTAAAAAATATGATCACTGACTGGTTGATTCTGATCTGACAACAATGAAGATCATGATATTAGTCTGCCGGATTTAGATTATTTCCTGGAAAAAAGTCCCATCAAAGCAAACTTGGTCTCAAATGAAAGGTGGGGTCCGTAGGTACTCCAGAAAAAAATGACCCATTATGATCTCTTGGGGAACATTTTTGGGGCAGGGTCAAAGTTCAGGGTCGACTAATCAGAAAACAGCACTCAATATCTCAAAAACTATCAATAGGAACTCTATATCTCTGAGTCGAATAAAGCAGTCTATTTTATTTTTAAACATATAAAGGAGCATATTAGGTAAGATTATAGTAAGGAAGCTAGGAAAGACATTGGTGGGGGCTTTAGACACATGCTCCTTAATTCTGAGGTCTAGGGTCTTTTGAATTCACCAATGTAATATTCTCCACATCTACAGTTAATTTGGTAGACACAGCCTTTCGGGAAGGTAGGCTTTGTGAGGTTTGACTTTCCATTAGCATTTACTAACTCCTTAGTTGTTACACCTTTGGGGAATGTGGTTTCTATGCCTGTTTCTGTTTTAAATAACCTTCTAAATTGGTTGGGGGACTTGGGGGTGTATGATTTTTTGGTTTATCAAGTTTTGATAGATTGGAAATGTGGCTTTGGTGAACTTGTTTACCATACATGTATGTTCTTAGTAGTCGTTGTGTTGTGTTGTGTTGAAAATTTAACCTGCGCAAATGTGTTTTTCTGCTATTATAGCCTGTGAGTTAAAGATACATTATGGGAGATTAGATAAAGAGCTGACAGTTCTCCACTATGAACCGAGATATCAGCTTTGTAAATTTCCGTCTAGCCTCGTTCATCATTACTAAAGTTAGTACGTTAAAAAGCATAGTCTCGATTATCCATTATTTTGATTTAATTATCAATGAGCGTTTGAAGCAAATAGGATTCTAATCCAGTCAATATCGATGGCTAGCCTTGATATGGAGAGTTGGTTATGGTCTGGATAAGTTAATTAATGTCTAATTAATAATTCAGATAAGATTTCATGCCTAAAGAAAGACCTGCGATAGGCAGATTTAGCTCTTGCATAATGCATGTTTAAACAACTTCAAAGTTGTCCAATTGTTTTGCTAACCGAAATCCCACTCTATGCCAACCTGAATCCCAACCATCCAAACAGCCCTTTGCAGCTGCATTCACAAATAATAATCGATGTCTGAAAAATGTCGCACAAAGTAGAGTGGTTACAGACAAAATGCTTTAATCCATAGTCAATTCAGTACAAATTTGTGGTATTTAATAAAACAAAAATTTAGATAAAATAATAATTTTTGTTTTCACTTTATCCACCTGCCCAAAAAGTCAGATTTCCCCCCCCCCACACACACCAAGCTCATACGCCTGTGATGATTGTGACAATCAAGATCATGAGGAAGAAAAAGAAAATATGTCCATGAATAAAAATCAAACGAGACTAGACCTGCGAAGAAGTGCATACCTATTTTAGTAAAATATGTCAACGCGAGAGTCATAACCAGCGGCTGCCAGGCAGGATATGCCCACATTTTGCAAGACATGGATAGAAAACAAGCTAAAAACAAACAGGATTTTTTGTACAATCAGGGGCAATAATCCAGAAAGTTATGGTCTGAAATACGCAAATATCAAAAGGGACTGAGATCTTTGAGATATAAAGATATGTTTTAAGTTTACCCGGTAATCAAAATCAGATAAAAATTGTGACCTCTAGAGGGTCCACAACCTTCGTATTGCATACTTTTACACAATTTGCGTACAAAGAGCGGCCATTTTGTTGGGCAGTTTCATTTCGATTTTCCCGAAATTTGCGCATATCGGACCGTAACTTCTTGAATTATGGCCCCTGATTGTACGAAAAATCGCGTTTTTAGCTTGAGATCCCTCTAGATGTCACAATTATTATCCGATTTAAAAAAAACGTTTTTTAAAATCGAAAAAAAAACCTGTGATCTCGAGAGAATCCGAAAGCTAAAAATGCCATTTTTCGAACAATCAGGGACGATAATCCAGGAAGTTTCAGGTATCCGTGATTATCGAATGGATCCAAGATCTTAGTGTGTAATGGTGATATATTCACACATTTTTTTTTTAAATCAGACAAAAATTGTGACCTCTACAGGAACCATAAGCTAAAAACGTGATTTTTTGTTCAATCAAGGGCCATAATTCAGAAAGTTACAATTCGATATGCGCAGATATTGAAAAGAACCAAGATCTTTGGGTTATAAACTTACATTTCAAGTTTCATCAAAATCAGAAGAAAATTGTGACCTCTAGAGGGTCCAAAACATTGATATACCATATTTTTATGCTAATTGTGTACGAGGGGTGGCCATTTTGTATGGCAGTTTTGGTCCGATTTTCACGAAATTTGAAGTCAACCAAAATTACTGTGTAACAGTGATATATTTGAACGTTTTTTTAAATCGGATAATAATTGTGATAAGGGGCCATAATTCAAGAAGTTACGGTCCGATATGCGCAAATATCGAAAGGAACCAAGATCTTTGGGTAATAAACTTACATTTCAAGTTTCATCAAAATCGGATATAAATTGTGACCTCTTGAGTGTCCATAATCTAAAAACGCGATTTTTCGTACAATCAGGGGCCATAATCCATGATGTTACGTCCGATACATGCTAATATCGAAAGGAACCGAGATCTTAGGGAGATAACGCTGTATTTCAAGTTTCGTTGAAATCAGATAAAACTTGTGACCTGTAGAGTGTCCACAAACAATTTGTGGCCGGCCGGACAAACAGGGGCGACGACCATATACATCCACATGAAAATGTGGGCGTATAAAAATGGTTAGGGTAGAGATGTCTGGGCACCTATGGAATTTGCCTAAAAATTCCAAATATGAAAACCTGAGGAAGATCCTTTGAGAAATGATCGAGATATGGGCAAACTGAGATCTGTAAAACACTCCCCATTTGTCAAAACTGACTCAATTTATATTTAATAAAAAGATCTGAGGAGGTCAACAAAAAATAAAATGAAAATAGGAAAAACTCTTTTAACAACATGTGTTTGACAAAGATGAACAAGAAGTTTATTTTTTTTTTATGAAATGAGGATGAGCATCAAGTCAAGAATGAGAAATTAATGGAGCCTGTGAAAAGAAGGACAAAAACAACTATATTGATAATGGAGCATGTAGGATAGTGATAACAAGGATTAGAAAATAAAAATTAAGACTGATTCATGACGTAATTTTCTTTTTATGAATATGATAACATTTACAGTATAAGAGAAAAAATATGTTCCCTGGAGTTTCCATGATCACCATTTAAAAACGTTTATAAAAATTGAGAAAGCAGAGTGAAAAGCAAACAACAATCAAGAAAATCAATAAGTAACTTATTAAGTTACTTGATGTTTTTAAATATGAAACCAGAAATTTGATAAAAGAAATATTCCTCCAGAGCTTTGTGTGGGTGTTCTCATTTAATTACTGTTCTTCAGATTTTAAAAAAGTACATGATTCTTGTCAAGCAAAATTAACGTTTACATCTCATATTGCTGTGTAACTATAGTTTTAAAGTATCTTGGGATTTGAAAAAAAATATTTGTTTGAACTGGAAATACAATAAACAGATATAATTGAAAACATGTAATTTAGAAGTCATGTCAGTGTAGGTACATAATACCTCTATTGGGAGAAAGTAAAGTAAAATGTAGGTATATATATACATCAAACATCTGTACTT